TAAAAACGGCCTTGGGTCGCAAAAAAGAGCTTCGCTCAACAAAATAACACAGTCTGGAATGTGGGGAAATAATACAAACGGACTATCCTCGACAGGACTGTTAAGGCCTACTGATAGCTCCTCTGCGATTCGCAGGAACTACAATTATTATTATTATGAATCTTTAAAAGGAAACGGCGGATTATTAATGAAAACTAGTTTAGCTACTCAGGTGTTCTTTTTAAGCTACTATGATTAAAACCAAACTTCCTGCGAATCCTGAAAATGAAACAGCGGAAAATCAATTGAAATTCTGACCAGCTACCGCAGAGACCATTGTTTTTGCACTCAATTACAGCTAAATGACGAGCGTCGTTCTAAGTTGGCTCGTATTTGTTTTATAGCACTATGTTGAGGTAAGCCTAGAAAATAAACTTTTTTGGCATGCGTAGTAAGCCTCTCTGCTAATAAAGAAGTCTCGGAAGCTTCTTCCATGGGTGAGGCAGATGAGGTTTATCGCCATTGAAGAGGTTGTTAGCTCCGATAAATAGGACGGTAACTTGTAAAGTGTCTCCGCGGGAATGAACTAGAACTAGATTACGTCGACAATTTTACCCCCTGGAATAGATAGAATGTTAAAGTTGGGAATTCCAGATGTTTTGTTTGAGAGTCAGCAATGAGTTGATGAATCCGCATAGCATATATAATCCGTGTTAAACCTCGAAAGATAGAATAGACACTTACAATGGGATATAAAGCAAGAGTTGAAGAAGCAAGACAACCTGAGGGTTCTTTGTCGTATTACGTCCTCTGTTCCTAACTACTGCGACAGGCTCACAAAACAGCATGCAAATCAGGTTTCAGCAATAATAAGGGGGCCTCTACTGCTGCCCCGACAATCTATCTCTGAAATCACACTATTCAATAAGCCTATCACAACAATTAGGTCTATCACAAGAATTTTAATAGCTCAAAAGCTTACAGTAGCTTAGTTTTTGCCGTTAAAACTTAGTTTTACTCGAGAAAAGCTAGTTTTTTTTTGAGTATTAGTGCCTTTTTTGAATCATATATTATAGAAAAACCCACAAATTTGAAAAATTTTTTGACTCTCTAGTAATTTTTCTGCAAAAATTGTTTTCCTACTTATTTTTCGACGACTGTCGAATATTCCTAAGCTCTAGCTTTTCGTTCAGATCTTTTCATCACACCACGCAGAAAAACGACACTTATTCTGAAAAACTTCTATTTTGTATTTTTGACTATGGTCGGAACATTCTGTGGTACTTGCAAAGTAACCGGTTATCTTTTTTAAAGTTTTTTTTCGTATTAATTTTTGTCGGTTTTTGCATGTTCGCGAAGTGCAGCTTCAGCCATATGTTTGGGGACTTCTTTTTTTAAGTTGGCTAACAAGCTACTGGGGTGTCATAATATTCCAGATCAATTTTGACAGCTCATCTTCCCGACTTCTTTTAAAACTGCTGTTCCGGATGTTGCTCTTATGTGGTTCCTTTGAAGTATCCAATATGTTTACATCAAAAGTTTCTTCCTTCCATCTTTTCGCTCTTAGGGGCACTTAGCATAGTGGTAAGGCGTTCACTTTAGAATAGTCAGATCGTGTAATCGATCCCATGCCATGGCAATGATAGTGTGTGAGGACGAGCTCTCACTTGACCTCTAGCTTCAGGTCTACCACAACCTGACCAAATTTGGCTGCAAAAGTGGTACCACATGAAAGTTCTAGACGCACAAAAACGGCCTTGGGTCGCAAAAAAGAGCTTCGCTCAACAAAATAACACAGTCTGGAATGTGGGGAAATAATACAAACGGACTATCCTCGACAGGACTGTTAAGGCCTACTGATAGCTCCTCTGCGATTCGCAGGAACTACAATTATTATTATTATTATGAATCTTTAAAAGGAAACGGCGGATTATTAATGAAAACTAGTTTAGCTACTCAGGTGTTCTTTTTAAGCTACTATGATTAAAACCAAACTTCCTGCGAATCCTGAAAATGAAACAGCGGAAAATCAATTGAAATTCTGACCAGCTACCGCAGAGACCATTGTTTTTGCACTCAATTACAGCTAAATGACCAGCGTCGTTCTAAGTTGGCTCGTATTTGTTATATAGCACTATGTTGAGGTAAGCTTAGAAAATAAACTTTTTTGGCATGCGTAGTAAGCCTCTCTGCTAATAAAGAAGTCTCGGAAGCTTCTTCCATGGGTGAGGCAGATGAGGTTTATCGCCATTGAAGAGGTTGTTAGCTCCGATAAATAGGACGGTAACTTGTAAAGTGTCTCCGCGGGAATGAACTAGAACTAGATTACGTCGACAATTTTACTCCCTGGAATAGATAGAATGTTAAAGTTGGGAATTCCAGATGTTTTGTTTGAGAGTCAGCAATGAGTTGATGAATCCGCATAGCATATATAATCCGTGTTAAACCTCGAAAGATAGAATAGACACTTACAATGGGATATAAAGCAAGAGTTGAAGAAGCAAGACAACCTGAGGGTTCTTTGTCGTATTACGTCCTCTGTTCCTAACTACTGCGACAGGCTCACAAAACAGCATGCAAATCAGGTTTCAGCAATAATAAGGGGGCCTCTACTGCTGCCCCGACAATCTATCTCTGAAATCACACTATTCAATAAGCCTATCACAACAATTAGGTCTATCACAAGAATTTTAATAGCTCAAAAGCTTACAGTAGCTTAGTTTTTGCCGTTAAAACTTAGTTTTACTCGAGAAAAGCTAGTTTTTTTTGAGTATTAGTGCCTTTTTTGAATCATATATTATAGAAAAACCCACAAATTTGAAAAAATTTTTGACTCTCTAGTAATTTTTCTGCAAAAATTGTTTTCCTACTTATTTTTCGACGACTGTCGAATATTCCTAAGCTCTAGCTTTTCGTTCAGATCTTTTCATCACACCACGCAGAAAAACGACACTTATTCTGAAAAACTTCTATTTTGTATTTTTGACTATGGTCGGAACATTCTGTGGTACTTGCAAAGTAACCGGTTATCTTTTTTAAAGTTTTTTTTCGTATTAATTTTTGTCGGTTTTTGCATGTTCGCGAAGTGCAGCTTCAGCCATATGTTTGGGGACTTCTTTTTTTAAGTTGGCTAACAAGCTACTGGGGTGTCATAATATTCCAGATCAATTTTGACAGCTCATCTTCCCGACTTCTTTTAAAACTGCTGTTCCGGATGTTGCTCTTATGTGGTTCCTTTGAAGTATCCAATATGTTTACATCAAAAGTTTCTTCCTTCCATCTTTTCGCTCTTAGGGGCACTTAGCATAGTGGTAAGGCGTTCACTTTAGAATAGTCAGATCGTGTAATCGATCCCATGCCATGGCAATGATAGTGTGTGAGGACGAGCTCTCACTTGACCTCTAGCTTCAGGTCTACCACAACCTGACCAAATTTGGCTGCAAAAGTGGTACCACATGAAAGTTCTAGACGCATAAAAACGGCCTTGGGTCGCAAAAAAGAGCTTCGCTCAACAAAATAACACAGTCTGGAATGTGGGGAAATAATACAAACGGACTATCCTCGACAGGACTGTTAAGGCCTACTGATAGCTCCTCTGCGATTCGCAGGAACTACAATTATTATTATTATTATGAATCTTTAAAAGGAAACGGCGGATTATTAATGAAAACTAGTTTAGCTACTCAGGTGTTCTTTTTAAGCTACTATGATTAAAACCAAACTTCCTGCGAATCCTGAAAATGAAACAGCGGAAAATCAATTGAAATTCTGACCAGCTACCGCAGAGACCATTGTTTTTGCACTCAATTACAGCTAAATGACCAGCGTCGTTCTAAGTTGGCTCGTATTTGTTATATAGCACTATGTTGAGGTAAGCCTAGAAAATAAACTTTTTTGGCATGCGTAGTAAGCCTCTCTGCTAATAAAGAAGTCTCGGAAGCTTCTTCCATGGGTGAGGCAGATGAGGTTTATCGCCATTGAAGAGGTTGTTAGCTCCGATAAATAGGACGGTAACTTGTAAAGTGTCTCCGCGGGAATGAACTAGAACTAGATTACGTCGACAATTTTACCCCCTGGAATAGATAGAATGTTAAAGTTGGGAATTCCAGATGTTTTGTTTGAGAGTCAGCAATGAGTTGATGAATCCGCATAGCATATATAATCCGTGTTAAACCTCGAAAGATAGAATAGACACTTACAATGGGATATAAAGCAAGAGTTGAAGAAGCAAGACAACCTGAGGGTTCTTTGTCGTATTACGTCCTCTGTTCCTAACTACTGCGACAGGCTCACAAAACAGCATGCAAATCAGGTTTCAGCAATAATAAGGGGGCCTCTACTGCTGCCCCGACAATCTATCTCTGAAATCACACTATTCAATAAGCCTATCACAACAATTAGGTCTATCACAAGAATTTTAATAGCTCAAAAGCTTACAGTAGCTTAGTTTTTGCCGTTAAAACTTAGTTTTACTCGAGAAAAGCTAGTTTTTTTTGAGTATTAGTGCCTTTTTTGAATCATATATTATAGAAAAACCCACAAATTTGAAAAAATTTTTGACTCTCTAGTAATTTTTCTGCAAAAATTGTTTTCCTACTTATTTTTCGACGACTGTCGAATATTCCTAAGCTCTAGCTTTTCGTTCAGATCTTTTCATCACACCACGCAGAAAAACGACACTTATTCTGAAAAACTTCTATTTTGTATTTTTGACTATGGTCGGAACATTCTGTGGTACTTGCAAAGTAACCGGTTATCTTTTTTAAAGTTTTTTTTCGTATTAATTTTTGTCGGTTTTTGCATGTTCGCGAAGTGCAGCTTCAGCCATATGTTTGGGGACTTCTTTTTTTAAGTTGGCTAACAAGCTACTGGGGTGTCATAATATTCCAGATCAATTTTGACAGCTCATCTTCCCGACTTCTTTTAAAACTGCTGTTCCGGATGTTGCTCTTATGTGGTTCCTTTGAAGTATCCAATATGTTTACATCTGCTTCGTACAAAACCTGCTTCGTACACAATAGGCCTGAAACACGATGGGTGCTGCAACCGGGTGAGGCAGTCCAAAGTGAATAAGGACACATTCATGGTTGCATCATGGTCCAGCAAAGCAGTAGTCTCTCTATACAATGTCACCGCCTCACTCAAACGTCTGGACGCATCAAGCAGTAGCTATGTTAGTTCATTTTTATACCTTGAAAAAGTATATTTTAGTGAAGACTCTAATATACAGACCTATATTGAACAATTTCTTAGCTTCAACCTTGAAATTTTCTGAATCTTGCCAAGTAAGATTTGATCAGTAATTAAGAGTCGATGAGCGTAGTTCAGACTTTATATAGGTTGTGATGATTTTTTCCTCGTTTTTTTTTCAGGAAAAATCTAAAAAGAATTGTTCAGGTACAGATTTACTTTTTGGCGGGTTGACTTTGGCTTTATTTTCAACTTCAGTTCATTTCCTGTGTGAAAAGGAAGGCAAACCCTTTACCGAACAGCGAAAATGTAAAGACCAGGAAAAACGTGATCGACTTCTATTTTTGAAAATCTTATCTAATTGCAAGTCGTTATCAATTTCTGTGTGCCATTTTTAACATTTCACCACTCGTAACGGTTAAGCAAGCTTTGAAAGTTCAAGGTCAAAAGTCCAGACATTTTTTCTTGAAACTTTGAGCGCAGGGAAGGGCAGCGCAAAGCAAAGAGAGACAGGATAGACAAGGAGGGGCATGGTAAGGCAAGGTAATGAGGGGCAGGACCTCACAAGGCAAGGTAGGACAAGGAGGAGCATGGCAGGGCAGCGCAGCACAAACAAGGCTGGGCATGGCAGGGCAACACGGCAAGGCAGCACAGGGTTGGGAAGGACTGTGCAAAGGGTAGTTGGTTTCAATTTTTTTGGGCGATTAAGAAATTGTAACGACTAAAAAATTGATTCGAATTAACACGTCAAAATTTTTTTAAATAAAGCAAGCTTGAAAAGGTCAAGGTCAAATATCTAGACATTTTGTCTTAAAATTCTGGGCGCAATGAAGGGCAGCGCAAGGCAGGGAGATGCGATGCAGGGTAAGGTAAGGAAGGGCAGGGTGAGGCAAGGCAAGGAGGGGCAGGGTGAGGCAAGGTAAGGAGGGGCAGGGTGAGGCAAGGCAAGGAGGGGCAGGGCCTCACAAGGCAAGGAGTGGTAGGGCCTCACAAGGCAAGGTAGGAAAAGAAGGAACCTGGCAGGGCAGCGCAGCGCAAACAAGGCAGAGCAAGGCCGGGCACGGCAGTGCAAAGCAAGCCAAGTATAGGCAAGGCAAAGCAAGATATGTTTATTATTTCCTCTCTCGTAACGGTTCAGAAATCGATTTGACTTTACACGACAAAATTTTTAGATAAAGCAAGCTTGGAAAGGCCAAGGTCAAATGTCTGGACGATTTTTCTTGAGCGCATGAAGAGACAGGGCAGCACAAGGGAAAGCAAGACAAGGGGGAGCTTAGCGGGACAGCGTAAAGAAGGAAGGGCAGCACAAGGCAAGCCGAAGGCAGCACAGGGCAAGCCGTTAGGTAGGACGACAGGAGGGACCATAGCAGGGTAGTGCAAAGTATGGAAGAGCTTGGCAGGACTTCTCAAAGCTTGGCAGCGCAGCGCAAACAACGCACCGCAAGGCAGGGCAGAGCAAGGCAATGCAGGCAGCGCAAGGCTATGCAGGGCATGGAAGAGCATAGTAAGTTAGCGCAAAGCATGGTAGAGCAAGGCATGGTAGCGCAAGACAGGGCAAGGCAGAGTAGCGCAGTGCAAAGCAGGGCAGTGCAAAGCAAAGCATCTCAGAGCAGTTCAAGGCAGAGCAGCGCAAAGCAGGAAAGCGCAACGCAAAGAAGGATTATTAGTTTCTGCTTGAAATCTTAATTAAGATCAAGGTGGAAAGTCCAGACAGATTGTTTGGAACGTTTCAAGAAGTTTTAAATCAGTATCACCAACTCTATCGCTAGTGAATTTTTATTTTAAAATTTCTCAGCGAAATAAAAATTTTACTTATTGATCTGTTCTCGCAAATTGGTTTAATTTTGATCAAAAAAGTGTCAATCATAAATTGTTATAGAAATCTAAAGAGCCTTAAGGCCATCTATTTTCTTCTTATTCGGTCTGTGTTATATCTGGTCACTTGCGTTCGTTAAGTCTTTTCCAACCGTCGGTTGACTTTTTAAAAAAATATATTTCTGTGCGGAAACCGCTTCTGATTTTTTTAGGAAACCGATCCTCAGACACCTGTGAAAGTATACACAGCGCACAGTACAGAAGGATATGGTCTTGATTGGTCGCCCGTCTCCACCAATCAGATTGCGAGTGGAGACTGCAGTGGTAATCTGCATGTATGGGAACTGGCTGATGAGGGCAGTCGAGTCTCAAATGTGTGCAAGTTTTCAGGGAGCAGAGGATCGGTAGAAGGTTAGAGTGATTAAATTTCTTCTGTTTTAAAACCAAAAGGCTGAAGTGTCGCGCGGAATATGTTAGTCTTAGTTTTTCTATTGCTGTTTTATTTTGTAGCCTAGATTTTCAAAGTCACGACTAAGCACGCGCTTAACTTAACTTAAAAGAAAATGCTATATAAATTTTTTTTAACGGCACTAGCCTAGTAGATACACGTTACGAGAAATATGGAATGATGCAATAGTTTGATGCTGGTTTTGCAGACATCCAGTGGTCCCCAGCAGAGTCCACAGTACTAAGCACCTGTGGTACAGACAGTGCAGTCAGAATATGGGACAAGAGGACCCTGACTAAGAGTATGTTGAGTGTGGACAGAGCTCACTCCTCGGATGTGAATGTGATCGGCTGGAATCCTCAGGGGGATCCATTCATTGTCAGTGGTGGAGACGACTGTCAATTGAAAGTGTGGGACCTCCGACAGGTAAGAGCATTTGGATTCATACAAGTCAAATCAGTATTAATGAATGATAAAAATAAGACAGCGCCTTATATAAAACAAGTTCAGTTAAAACATGATCAACTTAAAGTCTGCTATATGATCAAGGAGATTTGAAAGCTGAAAGTAAATCTATTATATATTTAAATGCGGCTTTACTATCTCGCCACGTTTAAGTTTCTTCGACTTGTTATTTTTGTATGTTAAACGAAAAATTTTACCACGCTTAAGCTATATCGTATTTTGCAATGGTTTAGAAATTTTTTCGATTTTCCAGTTTTAATTCAGTTTTTATTTCATTGAGTTTTAAAAAAGAAGCCCAAAAGTGGACTGCTGATAGGGTTCTCCCAGATGTTGCGAATTTGGCCTCCATTTATGAAGGCCCAATTCCTTTTATTAGACGAGATACGACGATTATTGTGATTTTTTCAAATTTTTTTTCGATAACACAAATTACAAAAACTTGAAATTCCCTGTTTTTGGGTGCTTTCAGAGTACTCTCAAGGATTGCGAATCTTGCCTCCAAATATGACTGCCCAAATACTTGTAGTTTTTGAGATATGACGTGTTTGATTTTTTTTTTAATTTTTCAGAAATTTAAGATTTTAAAAATTCAAAAGAATTGATATTCCCAACTGTAAGGCTACTCTCAGGATTTCCAAATTGCAAATATTGCGTCCAAATGCGACTGCTCAAGTGCTCTTAGTTTCCAAGATGTTATGTTTGATATGTCTTTTTGAGATACGATGTTTTTTTTGTGATTTTTCAAAGCTTTCAGAAAAACTTTCAGAAAAAAATTCCCAATTCTGTCTGCTGTCAGAGTACCATGAGGGCTTGCAAATCTTGCCTCCAAATGCGACTGTTCAAATCTTGGCAGGTTTCGAGACAGACGTCTTCTATTGTTTTTTTTAAATTCTAGAAAGCTTAAGTTTGAAGTTTTTCAAAGTTTGAAATTCCCAACGCTGTAGTTGGGTACTGTAGGAGTACTTCAGGAGTTGCAACTGCTCAATTTCATTTAGTTTCCGAGATGTGAAGTTTCTTAATTCATTTAATATATTCTTTTTTAAAGAATTTGGATATAAAAAACTTTATGAACGCAAAATTTTATGGTTTTTCAAAATTTGAATTAAAAACAAATTGAATCTAAAAACCTTACTAAGTTTGAAATTATGAATCCTATAATTGGGTACTGTCAGAGTATACTCAAAGGATGTAGACCCTATTTCCAATATATGCGGTCTTTTATGAGTTGTTAAAAATTCGAAGCACCGGAGGTTCGTTACACGCTGGTTAAAAATGGAACTAAAGACGGCTGTGTTCTAGTAAGAAATACCGACCTACTTTTAAGTTTCCTTAAAGTTTTTTTTGATAACTCACAAACGCTAGTCAACTACGATTCGTCAAAAAAAATTTCCCGAAAATTTTTTTGCATGAATTGAAATCAGTTGTTTGGTGGCTTGAAATAACATTTTTTTGCTCTTGATTCGCTGTATGATATTTGTGTTCTTGCTCACTTTGACTGTTTAAGAGAAATGAACATAGTGAGTACTCATATAGAGGACTTGTTGATTTTTTTTTCAGGTTTTTTTCAAGAAAAAGTCCTAAAATTTGTTCACGCTCAATTTTGATTTTTCGCGGTTTGACTTCTGAATTCTTTTTAAGTTCAAATGCTGTTGTTAAAAGGAAGGCAAACTCCACTATCGAACAACAAAATTGTAAAAGTCATGAAAAACGTGATCGACTTCTAATTTCAAAAATGGAAATTAATTATCAGATTTCCCAGTGAAATAAAAGTTTTACCTATTGATCCAGTCTTCTCAAATTGGGTTAATTTCAGCAAAAAAGTGTCCATCATAAATTGTTCTACAAATTCCAAGAGCTTTAAGGCCATCTATTTTTTGAAATTCAAAATTTTCTTTTTTGAATTTCCTTGCCTTCATTACTCTTTTCCGAGTGTCAGTTGGCTATGGTTTGTGCGAATCGCAGAGCTATCAGTAGGCCTTATCAGTCCTGTCGAGGATAGTCCATTTTTATTTTCTAGCCACATTCCAGACTGTGTTATTTTGTTGAGCGAAGCTGTTTTTTTGCGACTCAAGGCCGTTTTTGCGTCTAGAACTTTTGCGTGGTTCAACTATTGCAGCCGATTTTGGTCAAATGAGAGCTCGTCCTGATACACTATCATTGCCATGGCTCGGGATCGAATTCACGATCTGACGATTTGAAAGTGAACGCCTTACCACTATGCTAAGTGCTTCATGCTAAGTGGCTATGTTTTGATATTTCCAGATAAGCAAGAGTGGCAATAGCAGTGGCTGTAGCCCTGTACCTGTGGCCCAGTTTGGGTTCCACAAGGGACCCATCACCTCGGTCAAGTGGAACCCCAACGAGTCCACTCAGTTCGCTGCCTCGTCAGACGACAACACCGTCTCCATATGGGACCTCTCTCTGGGTAAAACTTATGCGCTTTCGTTATTGATAGTGAATTAGTTCGAATATCATTCAATTTAATAGATCGTTATTGGTTTTCTAAACTTGTTCAACTAATGTGTTAAACGTCTGAAATCTCGGCTGTTTTTTTGATAAGGCAGTTAAAACAAAAAAGGTGGAAGTTAATGTGGGAGAGGAAAATTGATGTTTTCATTGTTACTGATGTTTTGTTAGCCCTTAGATTTCATGCTGACTTTTGAACTGGCTTCTTCTTTGAAGTGCTGTGCTTTTTAAACGACTTAATTTTTTAATGAGGTTTTCGAGCAGGTAGGCGCTTGAATATATTTTTTCAGAGCGTGACAACTTGTCCTCGAGTGCAGACGGGGAAGAGGGGGACTTGCCTGCACAGCTGCTCTTTCTGCACGAGGGACAGCAGACTCTCATCAAAGAACTCACATGGCACAAGAGTGTCGCTCACATGCTCCTCTCATCTGCCGAAGACGGACTCCATTTGTTGTTGCCTAATAATTTATGACGCTAGCTTACAATACAATATTGCTTTGTCTGCTCGTTTTTTTCAGTTAAAAAAGAACCTATAGCGGTGAAAATTTCTTGGGGGCATACTCAAGTCCGAGTCCAGAAGTTTTCAAATCTGGGAAGTGGATTTTGTGTTTTCTTTTAAATCGACTAAATTTTTTCCGAGATTCCCTCAAACAAAAGTGTTCCAAGATTTTTTGAGCTGATGACACATTTTTGAGAAAATGCCAGAATGCGAGTTGTGCGTAAACGTGATACGGTTGTTCTGCTTTCCAATGATTGCACTCAATATGCCAAACCATCAACAAATTGAAGGTGGCGGTTTTGAAAAGAAGGACGGGTTCTTGCAAGAATGGGTACTTGAAAAGCAAGCTTTCAGAAAGGTGAAAACAGCTAAATTACAATATAATTGGAAATGCAACCTTACTAATAAATTGGCTAAGCACTTAAGTCCAATCATCGATGAGACGTTAAGAAGAACAGTGATACCCTGTTTAATATTTAATCAATTCAAATGTTACTTCGGAAACTCTTTTTTGCTGGGAACTCTATAGATTCAATGAATATATAAAGAAAGCTAGAAAGAAAGAAAGACTTAATGTATCCAAAACGACATTGCAACAAACAATAACCATTATATTAGTTTTAATTATTTGCAAACAGTTAATAGAAATACCTTCACATACATAAAATTGGAAAATATTTTTTGTAGAAAAAGAAATAAAAGTTCAAAAAAAAATCAAAAAAAGTTCACAGAAAGTTTTTGAATTTTGAAAAAAAAATTGAGTTTTTATTCCTAAAATGGCGCAAAAAACTCTTAAACACTCTTTACTCGAGTAATCTAAATTTTTACGGCTCAAAATAAGCAAAAATAAGCTATTTTAAGCCTGCTCGCAAACCTTATACGCTCGAAACCAAAAATCTAAAATATCAAACAGGTTTATCTCGAAACTGAAAAAATATTTTTAATGCTGCTCGAACCACAAAGGAAAGGGCTTTAATACGATATATCATTTGATTTTTTTTGACCGATTAATTATGGAACCTGATTTTGCGAGAAAAAAAAAACTGAAAAGACGCGAATACAAAGTTACTTCCCATTTTCAATGGTCTGAACAAAATCCAACAAACTATCTATTATAAATTTAAACACAATTTAACTAACTTCTCGTATTTCAGCTTTTATAACAATATTTTTGCATGTTACACCAAAAAATTTTCATGTTTAAGTTAAATTGTATATTGCAATGCTTAAGAAATTTTTTCGATATTCCAGTTTGAATTCAGTGTTTATTTCACAAAGTTTAAAAACAGCAACTAACCAGATGTTGTAAGGAGTCCCGAGGGCTTGCAAAATTGGCCTCTAAATATTAATTTTTTCACAAAAATTTGCAGAGAACTTAGTTTTGAAAAAAAAACAAAATCTGAAATTTGCAACCGTGAAGTTGGCTGCTGTCAGGGTGCTCTCAGAGGTTGCAAATCTTGCCTGCAAAGTTATTCATTTTTCCAAAACTTTCAGAAAGATTAGATTCAAAATTTTAACAAAAATGTTTTTCCCAAACCTGTAATGGGATGCTGTCATGGTACTTTCAGGGTTGCAACTCTTACCTCCAATTGTAACTGCTGCAATTGTTTTTGTGCGAACCTTGCTTCCAAATATGACTGCTCAAATTCTTTTAGTTTCTGAGATATGGCGTTCTTTTCGATTTTTCTAATTTTATTTCAAAAAGTTTTGATCTTGAATTCATAGTATAAATGCTAAAAGTTAATTCGTGGATGCGTTTGAAAAAAGGAAATGTGTTGATGTTTTTAAATGCGGCTGTTTTATTTTCGTTGCTTTTTCATAGATTTTAAACAAGCTATTTTCACGTTCTTTAAACAATCCACAAGGTGCTACTTCAACAGCTCAACGCCACTACAGCTCTAGAAGGACATCCATGGTCAGCTGAAAGGCAATGAAGAAGAAAGGCAAAGCCGGGTCGCATTAACCCAAGCAGACATCATTCTTTTTTTTAATTTTATTAACAAACACTTCCTATAAGATTTTCTTGGTATGGAATTTCAGTTAACATTAAAAACACGTTCCAGGTGATCTGATGTACGCACAAATGGCGTTGAAGAGGATCTACTTACTTTTATAGTATGTTCAAATAGACTCATTCATGAGCAATTAATAGAAGTGTACAATAAATTTGCAAGTTCGGGCAAAACATTTTTTTGATTGCAGTTTGGTTTTGACAGACCCTGCAGCTAATTCTTCTAAAAAAAAGACTTTGATGATGAATTATTTGAGATGACAAAAATTGAAAAATTGAAAAACCTTCTTGACAAATGGGGTCGAATTTTAAGCTGATTTTGTTAGATCTTCTGGAATCAAACAAGGAATACTCAAATGTAAGGAATTATATGCACAGGATTTAATTTTTTTAAAATCAGTTATATCACTTTAATCATAGTTTAATTAAACAAAATGATGAACATGCTTGGAAGTCGGAAAAAAATCTTGCTTTTTGCGAGTTTTTACTGCTCATGGAGATGCTAGGCAGCAGGCTGATGCTGCTTTTGTTTTCTTCCAAGTCGAACTCTTTTTAAACCTAGTTTTTTACCCTTGCGATTAGCAAGGGTGTTGCAAACGGACAAGATTTTTTTCCCAGAAACAACTTTGTTCACAAAGTTTTGCATGTGAAAATGTTACAAGTTTTTCTAGTTAATTCATTATAAACTCTTTTTCAAATCATCTAGCATATCCTATCGTCCGTCTTTTGATTTTTGTCTGCTAAGGTCCCGTAGTGCAGACTCTTTCGAAGATTCAGCCTTTGTCCAACTTGGTGATTGCTATTTCTAAAGCCCCATTGGTGGTAGAGTTCAATGAGTTGCGGAATAATATTTTCAGGGAAATTGAGTTTTAGTTCTTGAAAAACATTTTTAACAAATTTTTCAAACATATGAAAGTATTTTTTAAAATTCCGTCGATTAATGAGCACGGAATTATTTCACGTGCAAATACTTAGCTCGCGATTAGCAAGTGTTATCAATTTGGAACATGGACTTTTAGTTGTAGACAACTTCTCCGACAAAATCACTGAATCATTTTTATCAAATCCGAGCTTTCGTCAATAAACAAAACTTTTTTTGAGCATGTCTGTGTTTCAAATACTAGTTTCTTTTGTTTTTTGTTTTTATGTTTGTCTTAGAGTTACCAACAACGGTCGGTATAAGTTCTGTTTTTAGTTTTTCTTTTTTCCTTTTTCTCGGCCTGAAAAATTTTTCTGTTATTTCTAATTGGCGTAGTGGCAGTAAAATGCACCGCTGGATGTGCGAAACAAGTTTGCTATTTATGTGAGAATTTAAATTGCCGGAAAGCAAGATACTCAATGTCGCAAGAGGCGTGTGAGGAATAAAACGCTATATTGAACCTTGGGTTTTTGTCAAAATGTCATTCCACAGTCATTCCAAATATTCTGCGATTTAAAAAATAATTTTTATTCCCCGTTCAAAAGACATGTTTTAGGAAGTCAACAGTTCGACTTCTTACAAAACTTCTGATCTGTTAAAATAACAAATCCACAGTCATTCCAGATATTCTGCGATTTAAAAAAAAATTTTATTCCCCGTTCAAAAGACATGTTTTAGGAAGTCAACAGTTCGACTTTTTACAAAACTTCTGATCTGTTAAAATTGACAATTTAAAACGATTTTTTGCCATGCTATTTAAAAAATGGTTTCGGAACAAACGTGTTTAAAAAGTAAAATGGTGAAATTTAAAGCGACAAATTAAGAAGATTCGGTAATTATCACAATCCAAACTAAATTTTTACGGCAACTTGAATGCGTGGACAACTAATATATGAATTGTAGGACTCTTTTAGTGGCCAAAACAACCAGAAGAACTTGTACGATTTTCTTGGTATGGAATTTCAGTTAACATTAAAAACACGTTCCAGGTGATCTGATGTACGCACAAATGGCGTTGAAGAGGATCTACTTACCTTTATAGTATATTCAAACAGACTCATGCATGAGCAATCAATAGAAGTGTACAATAAATATTGTTAATTTGAAGTTCGGGCAAAACATCTTTTTGAGTGCAGTTTTGTTTTGACAGCCCCTGCAGCTAATTCTTCTAAAAAAAGACTTTGTTGATGAATTGTTTGAGATGACAAAAATTGAAAATTTGAAAAACTTTCTTGACAAATGGGATCGAATTTTTAGCTGATTTTGTTAGATCTTCTGGAATCAAACAAGGAATACTCAAATGGTAGGAAATATATGCACAGGATTTATTTTTTTTTAAAATCAGTTATATCACTTTAATCATAGTTTAATTAAACAAAATGATGAACATGCTTGGAAGTCGGAAAAAACTTGCTGATTGCGAGTACTTACTGCTCATGGAGATGGTAGGCAGCAGGCTGATGCTGCTTTTGTTTTCTCCCAAGTCGAACTCTTTTTAAACCTAGTTTTTTACCCTTGCGATTATTAAGGGTTCTGCAAAAGGACAGGATTTTTTTCCCAGAAACAACTTTGCTCACAAGATTTCGCATGTAAAAATGTTACAAGTTTTTCTAGTTAATTCATTATAAATTCTTTTTAAAATCATCTAGCATATCCTATCGTCCGTCTTTTGATTTTTTCTGCTAAGTTCCCGTAGTGCAGACTCTTTTTAAGATTCAACTTTTGTCCAACTTGGTGATTGCTACTTCTAAAGCCCCATTGGTAGAGTTCAATGAATGGCAGAAAAATATTTTCAGGGAAATTGAGTTTTAAATTTTGAAAAACATTTTTAACAAGTTTTTCAAACATATGAAAGTATTTTTTAAAATTCCGTCGATTACTGAGCACGGAATTATTTCACGTGCAAATATTTAGTTCGCGATTAGCAAGTGTTATCAAATTAGAACATGGACTTTTAGTTGTAGACAACTTCTCCGACAAAATCACTGAATCATTTTTATCAAATCCGTGCTTTCGTCAATAAACAAAACTTTTTTTGAGCATGTCTGTGTTTCAAATACTAGTTTCTTTTGTTTTTTGTTTTTATGTTTGTCTTAGAGTTACCAACAACGGTCGGTATAAGTTCTGTTTTTAGTTTTTGTTTTTTCCTTTTTCTCGGCCTGAAAAATTTTTCTGTTATTTCTAATCGAAGTAGTGGCAGTATAATGCACCGCTGGATGAGCGAAACAAGTTTGCTATATATGTGAGAATATAAATTGCCGGAAAGCAATATACTCAATGTCGCAAGAGGCGTGTGAGGAATAAAACGCTATATTGAACCTTGGGTTTTTGTCAAAATGTCATTCCACAGTCATTCCAGATATTCTGCGATTTAAAAAAAAAATTTCTTCCCCGTTCAAAAGACATCTTTTAGGAAGTCAACAGTTCGACTTTTTACAAAACTTCTGATCTGTTAAAATTGACAATTTAAAACGATTTTTTGCCATGCTATTTAAAAAATGGTTTCGGAACAAACGTGTTTAAAAAGTAAAATGGTGAAATTTAAAGCGACAAATTAAGAAGATTCGGTAATTATCACAACCCAAATTAAATTTTTACGGCAACTTGAATGCGTTGAAAACTAATATATGAGTTGTAAGACTCTTTTAGTGGCCAAAACAACCAGAAGAACTTGTACGATTTTCTTCGTATGGAATTTCAGTTAACATTAAAAACACGTTCCAGGTGATCTGATGTACGCACAAATGGCGTTGAAGAGGATCTACTTACCTTTATAGTATATTCAAATAGACTCATTCATGAACAATCAATAGAAGTGTACAATAAATACTGTTAATTTGAAGTTCGGGCAAAACATCTTTTTGATTGCAGTTTTGTTTTGACAGCCCCCGCAGCTAATTCTTCTATAAAAAGACTTTGTTGATGAATTGTTTGAGATGACAAAAATTGAAAATTTGAAAAACCTTCTTGACAAATGGGATCGAATTTTTAGCTGATTTTGTTAGATCTTCTGGAATCAAACAAGGAATACTCAAATGGAAGGAATTATATGCACAGGATTTAATTTTTTTTAAATCAACTATATCACTTTAATCATAGTTTAACTAAACAAAATGATGAACATGCTTGGAAGTCGGAAAAAATCTTGCTGAATGCGAGTACTTACTGCCCATGGAGATGCTAGGCAGCAGGCTGATGCTGCTTTTGTTTTCTTCCAAGTCGAACTCTTTTTAAACCTAGTTTTTTACCCTTGCGATTAGCAAGGGTGTTGCAAACGGACAAGATTTTTTTCCCAGAAACAACTTTGTTCGGAAGATTTCGCATGTGAAAATGTTACAAGTTTTTCTAGTTATTTCATTATAAATTCTTTTTAAAATCATCTAGCATATCCTATCGTCCGTCTTTTGATTTTTGTCTGCTAAGTTCCGTAGTGCAGACTCTTTTGAAGATTCAGCCTTTGTCCAACTTGGTGATTGCTACTTCTAAAGCCCCATTGGTAGAGTTCAATGAGTTGCAAAAATATTTTCAGGGAAATTCAGTTTTAATGTTTGAAAAACATTTTTAACAAGTTTTTCAAACATATGAAAAAAAATTTTAAAATTCCGTCGATTACTGAGCACGGAATTATTTCACGTGCAAATATTTAGTTCGCGATTAGCAAGTGTTATCAAATTAGAACATGGACTTTTAGTTGTAGACAACTTCTCCGACAAAATCACTGAATCATTTTTATCAAATCCGAGCTTTCGTCAATAAACAAAACTTTTTTTGAGCATGTCTGTGTTTCAAATACTAGTTTCTTTTGTTTTTTGTTTTTATGTTTGTCTTAGAGTTACCAACAACGGTCGGTATAAGTTCTGTTTTTAGTTTTTCTTTTTTCCTTTTTCTCGGCCTGAAAAATTTTTCTGTTATTTCTAATTGGCGTAGTGGCAGTAAAATGCACCGCTGGATGTGCGAAACAAGTTTGCTATTTATGTGAGAATTTAAATTGCCGGAAAGCAAGATACTCAATGTCGCAAGAGGCGTGTGAGGAATAAAACGCTATTTTGAACCTTGGGTTTTTGTCAAAATGTCATTCCACAGTCATTCCAAATATTCTGCGATTTAAAAAATAATTTTTATTCCCCGTTCAAAAGACATGTTTTAGGAAGTCAACAGTTCGACTTCTTACAAAACTTCTGATCTGTTAAAATTGACAATTTAAAACGATTTTTTGCCATGCTATTTAAAAAATGGTTTCGGAACAAACGTGTTTAAAAAGTTAAATGGTGAAATTTAAAGCGACAAATTAAGAAAATTCGGTAATTATCACAACCCAAATTAAATTTTTACGGCAACTTGAATGCGTTGAAAACTAATATATGAGTTGTAAGACTCTTTTAGTGGCCAAAACAACCAGAAGAACTTATACGATTTTCTTCGTATGGAATTTCCGTTAACATTAAAAACACGTTCCAGGTGATCTGATGTGCGCACAAATGGCGTTGAAGAGGATCTACTTACCTTTATAGTATATTCAAATAGACTCATTCATGAGCAATCAATAGAAGTGTACAATAAATACTGTTAATTTGAAGTTCGGGCAAAAAATCTTTTTGATTGCAGTTTTGTTTTGACAGCCCCGCAGCTAATTCTTCTATAAAAAGACTTTGTTGATGAATTGTTTGAGATGACAAAAATTGAAAATTTGAAAAACCTTCTTGACAAATGGGATCGAATTTTTAGCTGATTTTGTTAGATCTTCTGGAATCAAACAAGGAATACTCAAATGGAAGGAATTATATGCACAGGATTTAATTTTTTTTAAATCAACTATATCACTTTAATCATAGTTTAACTAAACAAAATGATGAACATGCTTGGAAGTCGGAAAAAATCTTGCTGAATGCGAGTACTTACTGCTCATGGAGATGCTAGGCAGCAGGCTGATGCTGCTTTTGTTTTCTTCCAAGTCGAACTCTTTTTAAACCTAGTTTTTTACCCTTGCGATTAGCAAGGGTGTTGCAAACGGACAAGATTTTTTTCCCAGAAACAACTTTGTTCGGAAGATTTCGCATGTGAAAATGTTACAAGTTTTTCTAGTTATTTCATTATAAATTCTTTTTGAAATCATCTAGCATATCCTATCGTCCGTCTTTTGATTTTTGTCTGCTAAGTTCCGTAGTGCAGACTCTTTTGAAGATTCAGCCTTTGTCCAACTTGGTGATTGCTACTTCTGAAGCCCCATTGGTAGAGTTCAATGAGTTGCGGAAAAATATTTTCAGGGAAATTGAGTTTTAATTTTTGAAAAACATTTTTAACAAGTTTTTCAAACATATGAAAGTATTTTATAAAATTCCGTCGATTACTGAGCACGGAATTATTTCACGTGCAAATATTTAGTTCGCGATTAGCAAGTGTTATCAAATTAGAACATGGACTTTTAGTTGTAGACAACTTCTCCGACAAAATCACTGAATCATTTTTATCAAATCCGTGCTTTCGTCAATAAACAAAACTTTTTTTGAGCATGTCTGTGTTTCAAATACTAGTTTCTTTTGTTTTTTGTTTTTATGTTTGTCTTAGAGTTACCAACAACGGTCGGTATAAGTTCTGTTTTTAGTTTTTGTTTTTTCCTTTTTCTCGGCCTGAAAAATTTTTCTGTTATTTCTAATCGAAGTAGTGGCAGTATAATGCACCGCTGGATGAGCGAAACAAGTTTGCTATATATGTGAGAATATAAATTGCCGGAAAGCAATATACTCAATGTCGCAAGAGGCGTGTGAGGAATAAAACGCTATATTGAACCTTGGGTTTTTGTCAAAATGTCATTCCACAGTCATTCCAGATATTCTGCGATTTAAAAAAAAAATTTCTTCCCCGTTCAAAAGACATCTTTTAGGAAGTCAACAGTTCGACTTTTTACAAAACTTCTGATCTGTTAAAATTGACAATTTAAAACGATTTTTTGCCATGCTATTTAAAAAATGGTTTCGGAACAAGCGTGTTTAAAAAGTTAAATGGTGAAATTTAAAGCGACAAATTAAGAAAATTCGGTAATTATCACAACCCAAATTAAATTTTTACGGCAACTTGAATGCGTTGAAAACTAATATATGAGTTGTAAGACTCTTTTAGTAGCCAAAACAACCAGAGGAACTTGTACGATATTTTTAATCATAAAGACGTTAAAATGTGGTCAAATCTTTGCACCACAACAGCTATATATCTTCGGATTATAACTAATACCATTACTCGCTTTTTGTATAAACATGTTATTTTGTTTGAGCGAATTTGTCTTTGATTGTTGGTAAACACGCCTGGATAAGCAACAAGATTTTTTATAGAATTGTTTTGACAATAAACAGTCTGGATTAAAAATTCATACCTAGTCCGAGCCAAAAAAAATAAGGAGGAAAGATTGCACACGTTTGAGCGTGGAATCAAAAAAAGCGTGTACTCGTTTTGAGTTTATTTATTCCTAGGAATTACATCAGAACATCTGCTTAATTGGTCATGAAGAACGAATCAAATTTGGTTCTGGTTTTATTGACTAACTGTTTATTTTTTTATCGGCACGGAAGCATTCTTTGTTGTCTGTGTTGCCAATAGAATGGTACGAACCGATCAGCAGATGACAGGGGAGAGTGCAGACCACGGGCATAGTGGGTCAAGGAGGACTAGACAACGCAATGTGGATATCGTCACTTACAAATTGGGCAACACGCCAAAAAAATTGGCACGAGGTAGGCTCAGTGGTTTTATTCTTCTATTTTGTTTTTACATTTTTAGTTTAAAAAGCTAGAAAACAGTAGTGGGCATTTTCAAGGACGGATCTGGGATATCCTAGAGTGTAGAGGGGTGAGGGTGAGATGGTTCACAGCTCTCTATCAGAGACCTATTTGTTTCAAAAATTTGTCACGCAGGACACATTAAATACAGCTCAAAATGACATTCTGGACAGTTTGATTGTTGGTATTGACCAAAAAGTTGAGTTTTTCCAGCACGCACTCCCCTTTCAAATTTTATATTGGCACCAAAGGCCTGGTCGACGAAAAATATATGTAAAATAGTATCAGAGGGGGACCCATTGGGTACTCAGGTCCTCCTAAATCCGCTCCCGACCAATTTAATCCAAATTTTAACAAAGATAACCGGTTAATGTGCAAGTAGCACAGAATGTTCCGAACATAGTCTTTAAAAAAAAAAATTTAAATTGTTTTTTTTTTAATTAGTGTCCTTTTGTTTCTGCGTGGTGTGATAAAATGATCTGAATAAAATTAGATTTTAGGCATATTCACCAGTCATAGAAAACTACGCCAAGTGGAAAACAATTTCTTTCAACAGAAATTTTTTGAATTTGTGAAGTTTTTTGATACATAAAATAGCGCTTAAAAACTCAAGCTTATCATATTATTTCGGAAGAATATCAAAAATCAAACCACTTTTCCTCAACTGAGAAAAACTTTGCAAACAATGTAATCTCGTTCAAATCACGAGTTCTGATTATGATTTGTGGTACTTGATTTTTCGTGAAAAACAACAAAACTAAAACAAATTCGAATACAAAGTTCTTCACTTTTTTCAAAGGGTCGGAAAAACAAGAGTATCCGGTTGCTGTGCAAATAACACAGAACGTTCCGAGCATATTGGCTTTTTTTTTTAAATTTTTGACATTTTTTATCGTGGTGTGATGCAAGCTCGCGAACTCGACGAAAACTTAGAACATCAGTAAGTCAGGCATTTTTAATTAAAATTGTCTTCAAAAAACGAACAACAAGAAAAAACTTTTTTCGTGAAGTTTTTTTGATTTCTGTAAACAATCTGTTCACTGCCAAAGATGCTCTAAATAGAAGTTTAGCTTTGCGGCTTACATGGATATTTTTCCCATTTGAAACCCTCGCTCGCTTTATTTGCTAAAAATTAGAATTAAAACCAAAACTTCAAACCAGTTTTTCTTGTTACTGAGAACAAATTTTGAATTTCTTTAACAATGAGAAAACTTTTTGATTCATCTTGATAATTTTTTGTAGTACGAACAAAAAATAACTTTTTTGGGGCTTAAACAATTGTTTTTCCCATTATAACATCCTCGCTTGCTTGACTTGCTAACAATTAGACTAAAAACTAAATATTTTAAACCGATTTTTCTCATCACAGGGAAAACTTTCGAATTTGTTTTACAGTGAGAAAACTTTTTTATTCATTGTGATATTTTTTGTAGTGCTATTTTGCGTGGAAAAAAAATTACATCGAAAACAAAATTTTTTGCCACTCTCAGTAGTTGGTTCAATGATGCTGTAACTTTAATAGGGAAAAGACGTAAGTAATCAGCGATCATGATATTCTACACAGATATATTTTGCGATAGTTTCAAGATATAAAAACGCTGTTCTTTTTTTTTCAAGCGTTTTCAGAAAACTTATTTTCGAAGATTGATTAGATGTTTTGTGACCTTAGTTAAGGCTGTATAAATTTTTTTTATTGATCAACAAAATGTGGGAACAAAAGTAAATCAAATAAACTAACTGTTGTGTCTCGACAAAAATTTTTTACAATTTTTTTTTGTTATGTCCAGTAACAAGTAAAACGTTTTTCTTCATTTTGAAAGTGTAATGTGAATAATTCATGTGTCAAAATCTATACCGCACGCTAAAAATTCTCCAATTGTAATTGAACAAAATGTTAACTCGTATTAATGCCGTATAAGAATCAAAATTGACCACTGAGTTTTTGACAATTTCAGCTCAGAATTCTTAGTTCGTAAATATTCACTTAACCAAAAGCTTTTCGAGCCCAGTTAAATGGCTGTCGGAGCATTCATGGTTTTGCCCTGATATACGAACCTTCTTGTTTAAAATTATATTAATGTTGAAATATTTCCATTCAAATTGGTTTTTGGTATACAAGCTGAAAATTTTTTTGAATATTTTTTTTTCAAAAAAAAAAAAGATTTTGCCATTTTTGCTTTCGAGTTACTTAACCGTATTTTTTTTCAAGCAGCAAATGTATTATCTTTCCAAGCGCTATCTACAAAAGGAATTTTCAGCTAACGATTTTTTATCCAAATGAGCTCTTTAAAGTCATATTTGAACAAAATTTGTATGTTGTTGTGCCATTCTCTCAGAAAGTTCCCAACACAGTTATTTTTGTTTTGATTTTTTATCAATTTGAGCAGCTTTTTGATGCGTGGTGTTTGCAGATAAAAGCCATATTCTAGAACTATAACAAATGATTTGATTAACTAGCTATTTTTATATAAACTCAAGTATTCTTTCTCAAAAAAAAAGTATTCAAAAAAATGCACATTTAGCTTTGTGATTTTGCTAATTTGAGTGCTGAGGAAGCGCTAAATTAAGCTTAAGAAAATAGTTTTTAGTCAGAGGGAAACCTACTAATTTTTCAGCTTATTTAAGAGCTTTTCCCGTTTCTCACTTTTTTTACTCGCTCTAAATTTGACTAAAAATGATAAATGTCCTTTCAATTTTCCCCAACAGAATTGTTTTTGCTCATTTCTTATTGTCGATTGTTCAGGCTTTAGAGAATTAATTTTGGATTTCACTGAAACCAAAAAACACTACAACAAAACAGTTTTGCGTTTTTTTTTATTTTCGCCCAAGCATAATTCAAAGAAGACTACTCTTATATGGGGGCAAAGACCAGACAGTTTCGACTGCCCCTTATTTGGCCTCGGTTACGTTGCAAAAAGTAGACAGTTACTATATTAACTTATCATAATCGACAAAAAGAAGCAAATGTAGGAAGTAAATAAGTATTAATTGTTTATTTCCTGAGTTTGTTTTCTGTTCTCGATTCTGATTGCTTATTATACTATATGTCTACATTTTGAGCTGTACGAAATGAAAAATGTCTACTTTTTGACCGCATTCTACTGGTTTCTTACAGTTTTTGGTCATTGACGTTTTGACAAACTATGAAATCTGTGTTGAAAATTTCAAATCTTCAATAATAAATTTCAAGTAGTTTAGTGGAATTTAAAAAACCACTTAACTTGCCTAGGTTCAATTTGCAACAAATTTGAAAACAGGAATAAATTGCAACGCATAAAAAACTCGCGTTACGATTTTTCCTGCAGAACTTGTATATTTCATATAACTTCTCGGTTAGTAAAACATGTCTAGGAATGATATCCTTGCAAAAAATCAACTATATAAACTAAACTACACATGGCACTAATCTAATTGTTCTAAAGAAATTTTGAGTTTCTGGTTTTTGATTCATGCTTCCAAGGCATATATCTTTATTTTCTTAATGAATTTTTGCGTTGTGTGACCAGTCTGATTGATTACGGTTGTGAATTCTATTTTGCATGCAGCCTCTCGCCGCTGGTTTTTTTTTTGCTTTTTTTGTTGTTTGACCGACTGTGTGATTATATCTGTAGAGTTCACTTGTTTCAATTGCAAACTGTTTCATTTTCATAGACACAAAAACATTTCTGGATTGATTTTTATGTAAGCAATCGAAGTAGTTCAGAAAACCCATTTTCGTTATCATTAGTTCTGCTGGAAGTTTTTTGCTTTTTATTACTAAATGACGTGCTCTATCAATTTTTCACATAGAAAGAGCAGACTTTGATATCCCAGTTCATTTCCTTGTTTTTTGTTCCCAGTTGATAAATTTGTTGATTTTGTAAAAAAAAAACTGCGCTATGCTGTGAGTTTTTAGCATCACAGTGTAAAATCAGCTGTTCAGTTTAGCTACAATTACTTATGTCCCACCACATAGGAGGGTAAAATAGTGGTGTGCGCGCCCCGCTGAGAATACGGAAGTTGAAGGAGGGGTCGATCTCAATTCTCAGCAAATGTTCTTTTAAAAATTTGTTAGAAGATTAAACCACTCCAAGAATAGATACATACGTACATTATAAATATATATATATATATATATATATATATATATATATATATATATATATGTGTGTGTGTGTGTGTGTGTGTGTGTTTGTATGCAATTAGCAAGCGTTATCAAACTGAAATATACACAATTCTATCTGTTGAACAAAATGTTTAATGTAATCACTTGAATCATTTGTATCTTGGTTCATATTGAATTGAAACATTTATGCGTTCCCAGCCAACTTAGCCTGGAGTTAACGAATATACCTGGGACGGCCAAGATAATGGGTTCGAGTTTGACCTCGACCTGTTTTTTGTCTCAAACGGGATTATGCTGTTTCAAATAAAATTGACGGCCAATTATTTGTCTGCTTATGTATTTTCGGCTGAGTCGCCACATCTTTAAATCGTTTTTTTTTGCTGCTCGTTTTTTTTTTAATATGTATCGTTTTTTTTTTAGTTGATTTATTCCAACAATTTCTAATTTCAGTTACTTTGACTTCGTATTTCCTTCTTTGCTTTTTGTTTTGCTTAAATTCTGCTCAAATTATTTCCCATGCCCAATTATTTCGGCCTATTTTTATCGGCTTCATGATCTAAATTTGGGTTCTTTCAAGGAGAACAGAACTTGAAATGTATTCTCCGCACTTTTCATGTTGATTGTATGCTTACCAATCGGTTTGTTGAAACTTTTTTTTCCTTATGGAAAATGGTTTTCAAATTCCTTAAAAAAGTTTCAGTTTTTCTCAGAAACTTCCACTGATTTTCAAAAAGGGTTATCAATTGAAAGACTACCTACTCCCATGTGTGCCTGTTGACTCCCCTATTTTCTTACTTAATGCCTCTGTCTACGGCCTTCAAAAAAGCGTTGAGGATTATTTGAACAAATTTACGTTTTGTCGATAACTACCGCTCTCAAATCTGAGTTTTTGCTTTCAATGATTAGCAACACCCATATTTTTATACATTAAAATGTTTCCTTTGAAATTCGGAACAATAATTGCGTTGAATTTTATATTCAAGTTAAGGTTTTTCAAATTTAGATATAATTAGCGATTTATATGTTCACAATCGTTTGTCAGTGCGCATCCGAAATTGCTCTGAAACACGTTTCTGCACTACCGATTTCAAAGATCTAACTTCAGGTTAAAAACTGTTTTGGTTTGCATATCCATTAGAGTTGTGTCATCCGAGGCCAGTTCTGCAGGCCTCGGATGACTGATAAAATTTTCTGGAAATATTGGGCCTAGTAACAAAAAATAATAGTTTCCGTTCGCTGTGATTTAACCATTATGAGATGGAGCTATATTGGGGGGGGGGGGATTTTAAACTTCTAGACTTTTTATGTTAAAGCGTAATCATTTGTTACAAGTTTTCAGGTTTCTTGTGTTTTCAGGTCCCGACTCGAGTGAGCTGTTGGCTCAAAAGGAGAACTTTTTAAACCATGGGGTGCTACCCAACTTCAGCCAACTGGAGAAAAAGAAGTATAACCACACAAAGGGAAAAGGTAAATAGTAATCGACTTCGAAGTTAGAAAGTTTCTGGCGTTGTTTTGAAATATCTGATTGGGACTCATCGGGGAAATATCGAAATCGGTGCAACTTTCACAATTCTACATGAACATAAGCTTATTCTAGATTCGACAGACTAAATTTGAATTGCTTTGTAACGTTTTAGAAGCTTAATGAAAGTCTTCCTTTTTGAAATCATTGATTTTTGAAACACCATGGTTGAAACCGTGCTTTGTAAATTTATCCGCTGAAATTCGGATGAAATCTTTTCTTAAACTGTTTCCAGGTGAAGTTCGTTTCGAGTTATTTAACCTGGCCAGGAGAATCTTAGAAACAGTGCGGGAGAACTTTGTCAATGGGGAAGTGTTTATGAACGAGTCGTATGGGCCAATCATAGACAAGGCGCAGGCTTCTAGGACTATCAGGGGGTACCTGGATGCGGATCCGATTCTGAGTACCATCAAAGTCGCATGGAGTCAAGACATCACATCCAGGTAAAATGATGTCAAGAAAGCGTTCGTATCGGTTCGTAGTTATTACAGGTTTTTGAATACTTGTAGTCTGAGACGTTAAAAAACTGGCATTTATAGTTCAAAACTTGCAAATTTTGAAGCGCTCTCTCAATGATTGCTCTTTAGTATCTAGAACTAGAGATCTCGCTTTAAAGAAAAAATTTGTAAAATTATTCTTGATTTTTTTTAATCCAATACTAATGTGGAAAGAATGAATATTAAAGCTAAATTTTTAGTAAACCTCTGCAGATTTATTTTTTCGAGTCAACATAGTTAAATTTCATAATTCCGGAATCGTTCATACAAAGATTTTTTTGTTGGCGGTGATTTCTCTTGCTGTGATTCGGGTAGATTGAGTTCATATTTCGCCATAAAGTTGCCTTGTATGTTGATTCCCTTAATTTCTCGAGATTTTTCCAACGGTGCAAAGTGAAATGACGCTCTCAACTGGTTGAAATTTCTTAGCCAATCAGAGAACGGCATTATTGAAAGTCCTTTTGAAAGCCATGAGTCGTATGCTTGGCGTTTCTGCTTGTCGGTTAAAATTGATTTGGCATAAGAGAGTCGTTTAAACTCATTGCTTTCGCCTTCAGCCCCTGTCTTGTCAGGGTGATGAAGGAGAGATTTTATTCGGTACTCTGCTTGAATTTGTTCACACGTTGCGGCTTGAGAAACACCTAAGCTTGAGAAATGGTTTTATAATATGACATTAATTTTAGGCCAAAAAAAAACCCTAAAATTTTTGTAAAGGCGCCTTGAGTGCCACCAATATATACTAATTTTGAAGGAGAGCGCGCCCAAAGACGTGCCCAAAGACGTCTTTTTTGACCTTTTTTCAAAAATTTGCATGCGGGGTCTTTATAATGCCTTTATAGGATCAAAACAGGGTCTTTATTGTGTTCTAGGAGTATTTAGAAAATCAGTTTTTGTCGACCTAAAAAAGGTCGACAAAAGTTATTGAAAAAAATTTTGAAAATCCCCCCCCCTCGAGAAAATCCTAGATCCGCCCTGCCACCCTGTCTCAGTTAGTTTGAAAACAAAATATGTAGTGTAAACCAAGAAAACAACAGGCTCTATTATAGCGCCTTTCCACTTATAGGGAGAGGATCAGAATGACATAATTTTTCCTTGAAGTTTAACCCAAAAAAGTTTAACCCAGAAGTTTAACCCAAAAACGGCGTAATTGCCATCACCAATTCTCGTACTTTTGTTGAAAATGTTCTTTTAGTTGAATGGGCGCTTTCGTTGAATGTGCTGCCAAAGAGTTCAAAAAGTCAGTTTAGTTGATCTGAAAATTTAAACAAAAAGCGCACCTGTCAAAAAATTAAAAGCTTACCAAGTATTGCGTACAGGCATTCTGATTTATCGTTGTCCATTCGCAATTATTATAACACCCACAGCATATATGATGAATATTCAATCTGTCTGCACAACTGATAACAAGAAATTTAAATAGCAGATGAAGAAACGTGATGGTCAGCTGACTTATATCTTTGCTTATCGCTGCAGGTAATTTCAAAACATAGCAATTTTTAATAAATATTAGTCACGGTGACTACATTTAAATGGCGGCTGAATTTTTGTGACGCAATGAATTACTTAAATAATTACCACTAACCTTTTAATCTAATGGACAGATGCTGCTGAACTGGTGAACTTAAATAACTTGTTTTTGTTATTTCTAAACTCGTTTGCTTGTCTCAAAATGCCCATTGCTCCTTTTAGCTCAATTTGGTCCTATTTAATACCTTGTACGTCACCATTATCCATGCTCGTTGCTTGAAGGTGAAGCAACATTACCCAGCTCAGAAAAGTAGCCAAAAAAAATTGCATGTAGTTCTTAAACAGGGGCACAACAGGGGTTTGTAAAGGGTGATCGGAAAAAGAAATCATTCTGCGGAGCTCTTTTATTGTGATACTTTAAACGTTTTTATAAAGATATCGATAAGTGGGTTATTTTGAGTTTTGCGATGACCGAAAACGAATTATGATAGTTTCTCGTGTTTCAGCGCAGTGATGATCACCCGTGGTCCTGTCTACCAGCCGGAGAAAAGGACATACACCATGGTCATCAAAGACGACCCCACCATGCCATACCTGCGCACAGAGGGAATCATGGCTCTAGCACACCACGAGGTGAAAGATGGTATCAAGTAGTATTTAAATTTTAGTTTGTATCAATTTACACATTTATCGATTACTTATTTGAAACTAAATGGAATTAGAATTGTTTTCATTTCGGTCAGGGGCGAATTTAGTAGTATCTTAGTGGTTTTTCTCTATCCCATTTTCTCCGTCTCTCTGTATCCACCAATGTGACTATAAATTGCAAAACGTGCAAAAAAACTCATAAAGGCCAGGGGCAGATGTTTCAGTTGTGTATCTTGCAATGCTCAAATGCATATTGAGAGCACCTGCACTGGTCTTACTAACACCGCCATCAATGGCATAAAAGACTTGGGTTTAAACGCAATGCTTCTATGCGACACATGTGTCACTAATAACGAAAGAGATAACTTCATAAAGTGTAGGACCATGATGCAAATGAACGAGAAAATTGAAAAAGAGAGTGAGGGAATACAAGCACGTCTTGAAAATATGGAAAAAATGCTGACGGCATTGGTTGATGAAAAAGTCGAAAACGCTACAAAAACTACATGCGAAAACTGGAAAAAAGCTATGCAGATGTACTCAGTGTGAAACCTGTTAAAGATATGAAAGCTCAACCAGGAGCTGGAAAAGAAGTAAAACAAGAAATACATCATAATATCAATAAAAACTTCCGTATACAGAGGATCAGAGAAGATCCCGAGAAATCAAAAGTCGAAAATTTTGTCCCCACAACCGAAAAATTACATGAGTTACTAAACAAGTTAGGAGCTAAACCACAAATTGAAGAAATAAAAAGGCTAGGGAAATTCAGCAAAGAGCGCATCAAGTCAAGAACTTGATTAATAACTCTGTCAACGGAACATGAAGCACGATTGGTGCTGGCAAAGAGCTTCGAAAAAAGAGATGAGCTGCGAGATGAGAAAATTTACCTTCTGCCGGCATTATCGAAAGAAGATGCGAGAAAGAAAAACCTGTGCCTAAAAAGACGAAGAGAACTTCTAGACGAAAGAGTTCCAAAGGAAAAAATCAAAATCAGGAATTTCGAGCTGTTCAATGATGTGAAAAAAGATATGATAGAAGCAGAACAAGCAGATGATGCTTGACTAGGCTTTCTCGACATCCTGCAAATGAATGTAAGAAGTCTAATATATCTCGAACGACGAATGAAATTTGCAAATGCTATAGCAACATCAAACTATGACATAAAATGTCTCTGCGAGACTTGTTTAAATGAAAACACTGCATCATCTGAATTAATGCTAAATGAACACAATATTTATAGATCAGAACGACAAACAGCCAAAGATCAAAATTTGCATGGTGGAGTACTAATGGCAGTGAAACAAACATTTTCATAGAAATTATTGCCAAAGAAGCAACCTGAATGTTGTTGAACTTGCAGCATCCAAATAAACGATAAGCAAAATTTTGTCTGCTGTTTTTACAATCCACCTTCGAGCAGCAAATATCGCTATTGTCTAGACGATTTCGCACAAATTTTATATGAAATCGAGAAATCAAATCAATCAACTGCAACACTTATTTGCGGAGATGTAAATTTTCCAAATGCAAACTGGATTGACTATAGTAGCACCGAAAATGAAGAAAACTCAATAATTGAACTAATCGAGCAACATCAGTTCGAGCAGGCAATAGATTTTCCAACTTGTGGCAAAAACACCCTAGACCTTACATTATTCAAAAATTGTCACATTCATGCGACTCCTGACGAATTTATCTCAAAAAATTTACAATTGCTCCGACCACAAAGCAATCAGCATTCTAATTGAATGTCCTCACCTTGAGGTAAATGTCGCTATTGAAAACTTTCGAAGCTTCGGTAGCGTGGACTATAACGAAATCAAGAAATCAATACTAAGTGAGCCTTTCTCACCAGTATGTCACAAAAACATCAATAGAATGTGCGAGGAACTTTACGTCTATTTGGAAAATTTGATAAACCAACATGTGCTCAGAAGAACGAGACGTCGCCAATCACTTCCGCCATGGATTACGCCAAGTACTTCAAACATCATGAAAAAACTACGAACACAAACTAGAATATACAAATTGAAACCTACAAGCCACCGGAGAAATCTCATTCTATCTCTAAATAAAATGGTGAAAGAAGCAGTAGAGGAAGATAGAGTAAATTATCAGGAAAATTTGATGTCCACTCGTAACACACATTTAATTTTCCAACACTTTAAGAGTCTGAAAAAATCAGAAACACTCCCAAAGACTATGATCAAGGACGAAATATCTGTTTCCAAAGCCAAAGAAAAAGTGAACTTTTTGAATGAATATTTTCACTCTGTCTTTTCGCCCAAATCAAGCTTCAACCTCAGTGACATGAAGTGCGAAAACACGATATTGAGTAACTTCAGTATCTCAAAAACATATTTAAACCAAATTATAACAGAGCTGGACATAACAAAATCGCGGGGCCCAGATGGACTCCCACCAATTTTCTTCCGGCCAGAGAAATGACCGCAATTTTGCATTGCGTTTTTAAAAACATCAAGAGGGTAAGGAAAATACCAGATAAATGGAAAGTTGCGGCTGTGTCGCCTATTTACAAGAAGGGTAACAAACGACTAATGGAAAACTACCGGCCGGTGTCACTCCTAAATATCATGAGTAAACTCCTGGAAAAATGCATGTATCCGGCGCTGTATGACCATTTCATCAAATTTTTCACCAGAAGTCAGCACGGTTTTGTTAAAAATGGCTCAGTTGTTACAAACTTGTTATCTTTCTTGAAAAAATCTACGAAGCAATTGACAAGAACGCTGAAAACCATGTGATCGCATTCTATACCGACTTCTCTAAGGCATTCGACAAGGTCCCGCACTACGAACTACTAAAGACAATAAGAAACATTGGAGTTGGAGGCTGTTTCCTTGAAATAATCGCAGACTATCTCAGGAACAGGAAAAAATTTGTTCGTGCTGACAATTTCTCATCAGAAACTTTAGAAATTACAAGTGGCGTACCACAAGGATCGTTGATTGGTCCATTATTCTTCTGTATCTTCATAAATGATCTTCCTGAAGTATTGAAATTTAGTGACCCATATATCTTTGCAGACGACCTAAAATTACTAGCAGTGAATGTAGACACAAAGGACAACCAGCAGGACCTAAAAAGCGTTGAAAACTGGGTAGACAAAAACAAAATGAGTCTGGCACTGGACAAGTGATTTAAAATCGAACTTGAAGGAAATCAACACGAATTCATTCTTTGTAAAACAGCAGTGGAAAGCTCGAATGTGATAAAGGATCTAGGAATACATGTGTCCAAACATTTAACATGGACAACCCATATTGACTCAAGAATGTCGAAAGCGAATAAAACGTTCTATTGCATCCGCAGAAACTTAGAATTCAAAGTCAAAAAGCGCATAAAACTTGGTCTGTAGAAATCCTTAATACTTTCTGTTCTATCGTATGGTCTAATTATTTGCAATATCTCAAGAAGCGACTTGGGGAGATTAGAAAGGTTCCATAAGAAAGTCTTAAAATGGATCACGGGAAACGATTCTGACTATACAGAGCAGCTGAGATTTATAAACATCCTGCCTTTGGCGTTGTTTCTCCAGCTGAACGAGTTACTGATGATGGCAAAATTCTTGCATCAAGAAAACGATCACATTAGGCTCCCGGCAAAAATTGAACATCCAGGAAGAATGAAAGAAATTTTCAACCTAAACAAGACCAGAACTGAAAAAGCTAGAGGAGAGTATACATTCAGGACGTGCCGTCTAATAAACCGACTAAATCAGAAAATTTAATTTCGAGAAATGCGAGGCTTAAAGCGAAGATTGATACAGATGATGTGGAAGTTTTTCGACGATCAATTCTCAGAACAAAACAAGTGCACATGGGTCCTCTTCTGTGACTGCAACATGCGCCGAAATAACTGGAAAAATTTTGAGAACTTTGGGGATATCATCCCATCAGTATCCTACTGAAAATTCACAACAACAACAACAACAATTAGGGGGGACGCACCCCTCTTCAGGGATTTGATCCCCTGCCGACCCAAAGGGTCCCCGCTTTGGTACTTTTTAGGAAATCCATTTTTGACCAACCGACCCTAAAGTTTTTCTAAAGGCACCTCTGGCGCCAATATATACTATTTTTTGAGGGGGAGCGAGTCAAAATTTTCCAAAAAGTGCCCAAAAACGGCTTTTTTGACCTGTTTTTTCAAAAATTTGCCTGCGGCGCACAAAATTTGGCCAAAACAGCGTCTTTTTAGTGTTGTAGGAGACCTCGGAAAATCAATTTGGTCGACCTAAAAAAAAGGTCGTCAAAATTTTCGAATTTTTTTTTGAAAACCCGCCCCCCAAACCCGCAAATCATTAAAAAAAAATGATTTGCTGTTAAATTGAGCACCAATAAATTGTGTTATCAATGGCAATTGACAATGAGATTCCAAAAGTTGGTGATATAGAAACCTCTGAGCAGCTAGATGATATTAACGCTAAAATCACTTAAAAGTGCCCTAAAGGACGCAACTTTTGGCTTGCTCATGTACTCAGCTCTTTCTCTGTCCTTTACATTTCGACTGATTATTGCATGCTCACAGGAAATTAATATCAGTATCTTTTTTATACTGTAGGTTGGGACCCACTTTGTGCGCTTCTACAACGACGGACTGCAGCCCTGGAACGCCAACAGGAAGTCCTACAAGTTGAGGAAGCTAGGCAACGTGACTGGACTGCAGTCGGAGGAGGGGCTGGCTACTCTGGCCAGTTTGTTCGCCGCCAAGCACAAATATCTTTACAAGCCGGCCCTGCTCTACTGTTAGCATAACACCAATCCATTATGAAATCACTCAATTTTTAAAAAATCTCGTGTAGTTTCGGCAAAAAATGGTTGGGAATTTGTTTCGTGCTTAAACTATATTGAATATCGCAAGCCAACAAGCCAACTAGGTTTAAGGAAACTCAAATAATGAATCGATGAAGTAAATTAGGTATATATAAAATGTGTGTTATCATTTATTATTTTGATTCACTCCCTGAAAGTATTCAAATAATTATTTTCATGGATCTGACAAAAAAGTGTTTTTTTTTCATTGATACCTGTGGTAGAACATTTTGTGCTCCCCACACAATAATTGGAATCTTTTGTTCCATTTATTTCTTCTAGTCAAAATGCATACTTGTTATCATTTAGATGTTGCCTGCATGTCTTCTGTGATGGACTTCCGTGAACTCTACGATCACATCCAGGGACTAGAACCAGATCCAGACATGCGATGGCGACTGGTGTACAGAGTGAAAAGATCTCTGGACTGTGACCAGGTGGGCGGCTACGGCAAAGACCAGTGCTACCTGGCAGGGGCCGTGAAGATATTACTCAACAGGAAACTGATCAACTTCAATCTCCTCTTCACCGGGAAGCTATGCTACGATGAGGTGGACAAGGTCAAAAGGATCATCAGGAAAGACGGCTGCTTGAAGCCTCCATACTTTAGGTCAGTACATTATTCAGGGATACCCTATTTATGACATTCATTTCATCGTAATTATGGCCGATCTAATAGGCCATCGACCGAAGTTCAAGCGGAAAAAGTGCAGTCCGATAGAATATTGATGTTTTGAGTGTAAAGAGCAGGTAATTTAAAAACTAGTTTTGAATAGAGAGCTTGGAAACCCGAAATCACTGGCCTTGGAAAAATCAAAAACACTGAAATTGTACGAAGTTACACGAACTAGATATAGTTGTTCAGAAAAACAGACATGATGTTCCTATACAATTTGTTTTTAGCGACATGTCATCATATTACAAGCATCTAGACACGACTTTCCAGCTGAATTCCTTGGCAGAGTGTTTTCCTGGTTTCCTCCAGTGTCCCAATATCAGGTGTCCGGCAGTCATATCTTCGGACTACAACCCGGAACCACTCGAGTTCCTTCCCCTCTCGAAGGAGCGGAGAGATAAATTAAACGCCGATCATCTAGAAGCAGAAAAATCAAAGCAACTTCACGCTAGACAAACAGAAAAAAGTACAGATAATGTTGAGAATAAAGTCAACTCTGAGCAGAAAAGTTTATCCGTTTTGGGTAGCAAAGAAGGCAGCAAAAAAGACGGAAGCTCATATAAAGCAAAAGCTAACTGTGAATTTAAAAACGAAATTTATAACATCGGAGAAGCAACGCCTACTAGCACGATGAATCAAAACACAGCCATGGCTTTTAAAGAACTACTACATGACCCCCAAAATTTGACATATATGATGTCAAGTAGAATATCAAAAAGACTCGATGAACCTATCTTGTTGTCGAAGAGGAGAGCGCGGAAATCAGCAAATCTTCCTACAATCCCTTCGATGGATTCCAACTCTTCAAGCAGCAAAGAAAACACGGATAAGAAGTTTTTTGAGCGGCCGAAACGGAGTTTCAGGCTGAGAAACGAAAAACCTGCTCTCAGCTCGGCGAAGATTATCAGTGTGAATGATTTGAGGTCAAAACTTGACAACTAAATGCAAAATACTACTGTTCATTAATCTTAATTGTAGCTGACCTTTTAAATTTTTGGTTGGAGTAATTTATTTAAAATGAGTTTGAATGTCTTAGATTTAGATTTTCTCTGTTGGGTTTCAAAATAGAGTGTTTGCTCAAGCTGGTAAGAACCGGACTAGAATTTTGAATTATGTTAAGTTGCCCTCTCCTATGAACTGCTGGGGGAATTAGTTGGTAGATGCAAAATTTTGTATATGCTTAACTATTGAATTAGTCTTTTATAGGGGGGTTGCATACTAGGTACCATGGGGTAGGGGGTGTTTGAATAGTTAACCACATCCGAATTTTTAAATGCCGCTTCTTTGTCCTATCACTCTCCAGAGTTTGAGGGAACCTTGAATTCTGGCGTTTTTTCTACCCTAACTCATTTGCCTCAACAAACGTCGTACAGAATTGAGTATCATAATGAAGCCGTTTCTGCCATCATTTGAAAGGCATACAAAACTGCGTGTCTTGGATAAACAGTTCGTAGTTTCATTATTCATTTTTTATCGGCTATTGATACACGTGTCATTTTAAGTTTTTACACTTGCAAGCGTAGTGCAATAGTGTGAATCTATTTTTTACCAATCGATCCGCAAATAAAAGTGCTCATTCGGATAATTTTTTGCTATAATCCCGATCTGTAGCATTGCAAATTTCAACGCATATGTTCTCAGCTTTATTGGTGACTAGAGTTTGCCGACCGTCAAGAGAACAGATGGAAGGATGTGACTCCGAATCTACTGGTCGGAGGTTCAATGCGGCACTTAGCACTAGTTTCATTTGTATTTTGTGGTTTTTTTATGCATACCATTGGCAATTTATCAGTTTCTTTATTTGTGACTAGTGTTAACTAACTTTTAGGGGTTTCATGGCGTAGATGCGAGAACTTGAGAACTCTAAACCAGAAATCGGAGGTTCGAATCGGAAACTTTGCAAAAAGTTTATCTTTCAATGGGTCAAAATTTTTGCGACTTCGTATTACCTCTAAAATAGTTGCCTTCATGGCCCATAATTACCCTTGTGAGTGCTAGACTTTTTGCCCATAAATAACTTTATTCACAGGATGACTGTCGGTAGTCATCTCTCTCAATCTGTATTTTCTTCAGCTAACTAAAACATTTTACGCATGTATTTTTTAAAGTGCCCGTTCTATTCGAAATTTGTTTTGTGTGTTAGTTCAAAATTTAACGACCCCGATTTCAGTATATCAGTTTTTTATCTTTATTTAACCTAAAATGTTTCGGCTATCAAAATATTGGCTTAGCAGCTTTTTTGGGTCGTTTTACGAGTCAACAAAACTTCATCTTAGGATTTTGAGGGGTTTAAAAAGCATCTATATTTTAAATTAATTGAATTTAAAAAATTTAGGCGCTTGCTGGCTTAAAAAGTGTCGGCCTTATTAACATTTTGCAAAATTTGTTTCGATGCATAATAAAAACAATCAATTATGTTATTTTTAGGCCATTTTTCTTGAAAGAAATTTTCATCAACGATAAAATCAAGAAAGATAAAAAAATTTTGGTACGTAAACTTTTTCGATTTTTTTCAAAAACAATTTTCAATTTTTTCTGCAGCTTACATCTCAGTTTTTTGTCGGATATTTTACCATGCTATGTATGTTTTGTATCGTTATGGTTGAGAAGATTTTTCCATTTATCCTTTTTTCTTTTACCTTCTCCTATTTTTCCCATTTTCCTTCACGCATACTCGTATTGAGTTCCATGAAATTTTTTCAATTTCTAAAAAAATGATTGCAAAAACTGTACGGCTAATTTTTTTTCTACACTCGCAATTAACAAGCTTTCTCAAATCAGTATTGATTTTTTCAGGTTACAACTTGCTTAATCAAATCAGTTGAATTATCTGATAGCTTGAATTATTAAAATTCAAACTTTTAAGTTTCTTCGGTGCACTTTGTCTAGCGCTAACTACTACGACTGAGACGTCTATAGCCAATTGTTCTAATCTGGCCATGACCTGTTTTTGCATATAGCAAGAGTTCTGTTGCAAAAAAGGTGCCGGCCTTTTGTTTGTCTGCCTTTGTTTTTTCGGCTTAGTTGCTACAACACAACTTTTTTTGTGCAATAAAACATTTTCAGTGTTATTGTAAATAATCGTGCTATTCAAAATTAGTTTTATATTTCGATTGTAAGTTAAGATATTCTGACTTAAGTATAGCATTTTTTTCTTTTTTGTCAACTTAAAATGTTTCGGCTGATTTCCTTTGCGATATACAAGGGTATTGCAATCAGGTACTAGATTTTTTTCCCGTAAACAACTCTGTCCACAGGATGATCTCCAATTTCAAGATCTCCCTTTTCAGCACGTTGAACCTTTAACAACTCGAAGTATTATGCTTAGAGTTAATGCGTTACTGGATCCACAGATAAAAATTTCATGTGTAAATTATTATTTTTGGAAGCTTAATTGATTTCACTTCAATTTTTGTCGGCCTGTTTGCCTGGTGTTATTAAAACTTTTATTCAATTGAACATTAAGGTCAATTAGAAGAAAGTAACACGAGAAAAGGATTTGTCCTACACGTTTTTACCACGTTTTTTATTACACGCATAAGCTTTGAAAAAAAAAGTTAAAAGTTTTTTTAATTTATTTTCAATTTTCTTTCGAATGTATGGTTTTTGAGTGTAATTTCAATTTCAGCCAACCATTCGGCGCATGTATAAAACAACAAAAGCTTGTGGTCCGAATCCGACATGCACCTGTTTTTTGCAAACTTGACTTTATTTTGCTTTTTCGGGCGATCGCCCATCTGCCTGTTTTTGTCGTCTTGATTCCCATTGCACAATTTTTTGAGGTTTCAGCATTTCTTCCAATTTAATAAAGCAGCCATGCTTGAGACGACAGAATCCAGGAGTTCGATTTCAGTCGGGACTTGTTTCTTTACAAATTGAAAACTTTCGGCTATTTTAGACTTTTTTGTCTGCTTCTATTTGCTGACTTAGTTCCCACAGAAAGGAGTTTTTTGAAGTTTTTTAGAATTTTGGAAATTTTTTGTAAAATTATTTATATATTTTTACTTTTGACCTTAATTCAATTTGACAAAAAGTCATTTAAAAAATAAAAACCGCCTTAAACTTTTAGGACAAAATTGGATACGAACGAGAAACAAATAGCAATAGAAGGATGAAAACCCCGACTAACTACAAACATACGCTTTTTTATTCTAAATATGAAATAGCGTTACTATGAACAGAGTTTATTTGGCTCATTACACAGCGAGCTAGCGATTAGAATAATGTTTATAGTTTTTTCTCACCGACTATGCGAAAAAAAGTTCTTTTGGTGGAACTTTTCGTGTAATCACAGTCTGTAGTGTGGGCGATTTACAAATTTCCCTGCTTTATTGGTGGCTAGTGTTTGCCGTTTGACAAGCGAACATGGCTCAGCGGGAAGACCGTGAAACTCTTAAACTAATGGTAGGAGCTTTAATGCCCACTTAGTACTAATTTCATTTAGTTTGTTGGCAGTTTTGCTGCTTAGCATTGACAATATATTAGCATCTGTAGCTATTTTATTAGTGGCTAGTGTTGTTATACATTAAAGGACCATGAGGACACCTGCTACAACGTTATGCTAATACTGTTGAGATCGGAGGTTTGAAAGTGACACATCAGAAGTTTTCTCATTCAAGGCTTATTTCTATTTTCTCCAATTTTTTATAGCTGCTTTTTGTCGGTTTCTGGTGGTGTTTGCAAAATGTAGCTTCGCATTACAATTATCAGATATTTTCCGACCATCATCTAAAAGGGTGAGAAGGAACTATTGCCTAAGGAGTTTTTTGTCCGATATTGGATATTTCTCAAGAAAGCTTCGCGGCTGTCAAAAATGTTATCTTATCAGAGCCCAATTGATTTTTATCCAGATTCCGATGAAAATCGATAAAATTTTCTGTTGAGTTGAATTGGTTTAAAATTATTGACTTATTTTACACGGAGGCAAAAAGAAATAGAAGTCATCAACCTTTCTAGTTCTACTTTTACTTTCTCAAAATAATTCGAGAAAAATTGAGTTTTTAATTTTTGTTTATATTTTTCTTATTTTTCTAATTCATTTTAAGATTACTGTAGTCAGTCTTAGTCTTATCTGTGCTTCCAATACAGCAACCAGTTCTCACCGACTATGCGAAAAAAATTCTTTTGGTGGAATTTTTCGTTTAATCACAGTCTGTGGTGTGGGCAATTTACAAACTTCCCTGCTTTATTAGTGGCTAGTGTTGTTATACATTAAAGGACCATGAGGACACCTGCTACAACGTTATGCTAATAGTGTTGAGATCGGAGGTTTGAAAGTGACACATCAGAAGTTTTCTCATTCAAGGCTTATTTCTATTTTCTCCATTTTTTTATAGCTGCTTTTTGTCGGTTTCTGGTGGTGTTTGCAAAATGTAGCTTCGCATTACAATTATCAGATATTTTCCGACCATCATCTAAAAGGGTGAGAAGGAACTATTGTCTAAGGAGTTTTTTGTCCGAAATTGGATATTTCTCAAGAAAGCTTCGCGGCTGTCAAAAATGTTATCTTATGAGAGCCCAATTGATTTTTATCCAGATTCCGATGAAAATCGATAAAATTTTCTGTTGAGTTGAATTGGTTTAAAATTATTGACTTATTTTACACGGAGGCAAAAAGAAATAGAAGTCATCAACCTTTCTAGTTCTACTTTTACTTTCTCAAAATAATTCGAGAAAAATTGAGTTTTTAATTTTTGTTTATATTTTTCTTATTTTTCTAATTCATTTTAAGATTACTGTAGTCAGTCTTAGTCTTATCTGTGCTTCCAATACAGCAACCAGTTCTCACCGACTATGCGAAAAAAGTTCTTTTGGTGGAATTTTTCGTGTAATCACAGTCTGTGGTGTGGGCAATTTACAAACTTCCCTGCTTTATTGGTGGCTAGTGTTTGCCGTTTGACAAGCGAACATGGCTCAGCGGGAAGACCGTGAAACTCTTAAACTAATGGTAGGAGCTTTAATGCCCACTTAGTACTAATTTCATTTAGTTTGTTGGCAGTTTTGCTGCTTAGCATTGACAATATATTAG